TTGCTCTGATTGTTATTCACTGTTGATTGAAATTCTTCGCACTGAAGGTAAAAGTATCATTGTTGGAATAATTTATAGATCGCCTTGTTTTAATATTAATGAATTTGTCAATCTTTTCGACAAAATTTTTAAAAGCATATAAAAGTAGTTTACCTGTGCTTGTTTGTCCTGCAGGCTCTGTTTTTGGACATTGGCAAAGATTTGTACACGGGCGATACGAAGCTACCCGAATAAGGATGTTCAAACGGGAATGCTTTCCCTTTGGCTTCCTCCTAGGAACTTGTTTGTCAACTGAGTTCCATCACTTCGGGGTGTTAAAATGGACTGTCCACCCTCAAACCATGTTACATTTGTATTTTCTCTTAGGGGAAGATGAACTGGTTTGTCAACTGAGCTCCATCACTTTGTGAAGCTATGTGTAAAATGGATTGTCCACCCGTACAAGTTATATTTGTATATTTTCTCAGGGGAAGATGTGATAGCAGCTGAGCGAGCAGCAGCCCTGTGCGCAGCTTGTGAGCTCTCTGCAAAGTCCCTCTTTGTCCTGCCCTGTGTGGACCATCTGCTGGGTTACACCATCAGGCTGGAGAATGCTTTCTACGAGCTGACCCAGGGGTACTACCACACTGAGGCCAGGCGGGTCAAAGCTCATCGGGAGTTCCTCAATAGAACCACTCATCAGGTATGGAAAGAATTGGTCACATCTTCTTCACTTTCCCTCTCTGTCCAAAGGGCAAGAATGTTTAGAGTGCTTGGAACTTCCAGTGGGAACTCACTTCTCAAATCTGGAATATACAGTGTTCCATTGGAAACAAAAAATTGACTAAATGGCCCTTTGCTGTGGAGGATACTTAAACAACAAAGTTTTTCTCCGTGGGCGACATTCTACTTTCCTGCAAAAAGTTTTTCAAATGAAATGTGGGTGCGTATTCTAAAACTCTAAAATTTGCGACTCCCCCATAGCCGGAGAACCAAAAAACACCGTCTGGCAGTTTGTATACACAGAGATGGATCTTATTTGCCCTGAGGTACAGCAGGCAGATGTGTTTACATGCTGAAGCCATATTCTTTGTACTCACACTGAGGTCTGAGAAGCCTTTGAGATCAATCAACTGTATTCCTCACCTCTCTCTTTCTTGTTCTCAACACTGTCCTAATTTCAACAGTTGCTGTTTGTGCGCCATGCCTTCAAGTTTGCATTCTTCAGTGAGCTTAAACAGGACACCCATGGGGCGCTCAAGTAAGTTCTGACCAAACGCTGACGGCAGGGAGTCAGAGTACAGATATGCAGAGCACAAGTCTCAGTTTTGTTGGTTTGAAATCCTATCCCAAACAAATCTTATTGCACTGAGTAGGCCTGTCTAAACTTGGGTGGTGTTCAAAGACCAACTCCAACGATGCTAATTTTTCTCATATTGAATCCTATTCAAAAGAGCCAAGTCTAATAAAAGTGGCACATTGGCACATACTGTATTAATATCCCCCTTGCAATACATGTTGTTGTGTTAATGAAACATAGTTTTTGAACCCAGTTTTTCTGTGAGTCCAGTCCGGTATTGTAAAAATGGACAAGTCGTCACGACTCATAAACATCTTATGAATATTGATTTCTGTGATGCAATTAATACCATGGAGAGAAAATACAGTGCATGTACTTTAGGCTTGCATAGCACGCGTAGCTGCGGACGACAGCACAAACTTGAATAATCTCTCATTCTTCGGAAACTCAAAGAATTTAAATCCCGGATCTTTTGCAGAATTTCTAGTGCATCCACCAATGGCACACAATTTCGGCAGCACAAACTCTAAGGAAAAGAGATAATGCAGCACAGTAGTCGCAGCAAACAGATCTATCACTGGGACATTGTACGTGGTACATGCACATGTAGGTCCATGTTCATATACATGTACATTTGTGGCGGAACCACTCATTCCTCGGATACCAGTTTCAATGTTTTCTCCGGTATTGCATCATACAAATTTCGTTTTCTCAGCAGTGCTGCTAGCTGTCAGATTGTGGAAATTTTTCATTAAACCTGAAGACAGGGTTCAAAAGTTTCGGCAAAATTACACAAATACAGACGCAATGCAGACATGATTTGGTAATGAATATGTGATTTATTACACACTTAACACAACTGTTTATTTTCAAAACTTTTAAAACATTGGAATTGGTCATTAAAAAAGATGTTTAAGAAGTCCTACACAAGCTATTACAGGAGGTGATTAGAAATTAGAAGTGTAGCTTGAAGCATTTCACTGAATGCAAGACTGCCTTCACAGTTCAGAGTTATTTTCATCTGAGTGCAGACAGTACAAGGCTGCATACACACACCTGACAGAGCTCAGAGCACATGACACCAACATGCTGGAGATCAAGACTATTGCCGGATTCATCAACTACAAGGTTTAAGAAACAATATATTTAACTTGAATATTACATTTTATACAACAATGTCTTAACAGCCATGAAGTCACAATGCTTCTGTATAATGAGAGGAAGACAATAGACAAATATCAGATGTTAGTCCTAGTTCTTTCCACAAAGGACATCTGAAGCCCCGTTTTTTTACTGTAATTGTTTTGTCAGTTAAACAGAAGTTTGATATACCGGTACCTGTCTGCATTTTTCAGTTGTCCCTCGATGAAAAGAACTTGTTCAAATCTTGGAAGGTGTGAAATCTCAAAGTGAAATCTCTCCAGTCAGTCTGCCAGTCATATCTTGCACTTAAACAGCAGTGTTCTGATGATTTTCATGTTTGTTTCCCAGGTTTGCCGTCTGAGCTTCTTTCACAACACTCCTTTGGATGCCATCAGTCAGTTCCGCAAGCATGTAGACCTGTTCAAGAACAAGATAGGCTGCCATGAGCTAGCCTTTGAGCACTCAGCCTGGATGTCCAAACAGTAAGTCGCCAGTTGAGCTTGGCAGGTTTCATGCCCATCTTGCTGAAACTAAGGGTAAAGTTGAGGAAAGATAGTGTTTAGGCGAAAGTGCAGTTTCATCCTTTCAGTTAAAACTAAATTAGGCCATAGGAATGTATGAAGTTGGACTTCTTTGGATAAAAATCAAACTGGTATTCCTGTAAGTCTTTATGTGTCCCAAAATCAACTAAACAAATCTGTGATTTTTATAGAGATTTGTGAAGTGGGTTACATGGAGATTTTGTTTTGTTTCATCTTTGAAGTGCAATTTACATGAAATGTTTGATGCTTTTTTTTCTCTTTGTGGTGCTGAGAATTTTGTGCCATCGTTCTGCATACAGTGATCCGTTCTCTCCAAAATTTTGAGCTTTTGTGGGAGACTTCTCAGATCAGACCCAGATCAGTTCTTAATATAACCACCTCTGTCCCACCAGATTCAGCATATTTGGGGAGTTATTTGAGGAGGCCATCAAGTTGGGCTTGACGGCGATCCAGACCCAACACCCCGGTTTCTACTACCAGCAGGCTGCCAACCATGCCATCGCCAGAAAGCAGCTCTGTCGAGGCCTCTGCCATGTAAGTTAGCCCTAGTTAATTCTCAAGTTCACAAGTTGATAGCCAAGTGAATAGAGATTTTTTGTCTGAAAAAGAGACCATTGAGCCAGTTCAGTATTTCAAACAGGCTAGGTCATTCAAGAACAAAGTGCACATTTGAATCAGTGTACAGGATTGTAAAAAAAATAAACCGAAGTGTTAATGATGAGGGAGTTCGGCAGTCATCCTGAAAAAATGGTAGGTCCAGCTTAATTGTGTTTCAAGATATCACCCATTACAGATGGCAGATACAAAACTTTTTTTTTTTTACATCATCGCTCAAAGTATGATTAAACACAGTGAAAACATGTAAAGTGATCCACTTTTGGCAGTCATTTTCTTTGGCCTTTAGAAGTTTAAAAGTATTTCCTGGTGTTTAAGATGAAAAAACTTTCAAACTTATGGAAATGTCAACAAAAATAAGAATGGGAGTGGACATCCCACAATTGGTAGGTCACCTCTGCAAATATTGCAGCTGTTCAAAGGGAGCTTCGCCAAAATCTGATAGCGAGGTAGTAGACAAAATGGTGTGCCCAATGTCTCCAGATCTTCATCTTGCATATTGTAAAGGACATCAGTTGCCATCCTTACAGAATTCAACAGCGCCATAACTGTGATCCACAGCAATAGTTGGCATTTTGCAGTTGGCTCATTAACCCTAACAGTCCTCAGTCCTCAGTCCTCCAACAGGTGAAGGATTGAGGACTGTTAAGGTTAATAGACCTCAGTGTTTTTTAAGAAACTTTATAATTGTTTATGAAGCAAACTTTACGATGAGAAGTTCTGTCAATACCACAAACATCCATGAATATGCTCCCAAGGGCAACCCTTTGACTGCATTCGTCTGTGATAAGCATGATGATAGTCGAAAACTTGCAGTTTTGGCAGCAGTAACTGGAAATAATAGACTCATTAGACCTGGGTTCACACCTTAAACCTGGGGTAACTCTTTCTTGAACTACCATGTATGACTCTGCTAATGGGGTAGACATTGTACTTATGTGTGTAGTACTTCATTTTGGGCATACTCTTTGTAATAGTAATATCCAACTGCCTCATTGCTTACTACATGGTTCACCGGCTAGGCAGTGAGGAATGTAATTGATTACTTAGCAAGAAGTAAATTACTAGCCAAAACCTACATGTACATTGCTTTCAGCTATTTACTGATGACTTTTTCTTGGCAAATATTGTTACGGAATCCATGAAGGACCCCGATAACAAACGTGGGATCAAAGAAATTAACTGAAATGTATGATACCTGGCCAACTTGCCGATTCACAGAAATCTTTCCGCGGCTTATTTATTTTCTTTTTAAAAAAATAATGAACAAAATCAAGTAATTAATCACACAGGAATATGGCTATAGAGATAACAAATTAACTACAAGTAGTTGCTCCCTGCGCCATGCAGGGTGCAGTGGCATTAAATATGCTCCTGCACATGCTGGCCATTTTAAATCACACACATGTGAACATGTGAAGACAAACTACCCAGACCTCAAACCCAAAGCAGGCGACGCCCTTCCCCCAGAAATGGACCTGTAACAGAAAAAATACCCTGGCCACATGCACAAGAGCATAGCAATCCAGATATAAGGAATGGCTGGAGCGGAGTATCCCAAGTTTTTGGTTAAAGCTTTTGCATAAACACACCACGGTGTCCCATTTTCAGTCTAGAGTACTACCACTTATGGGCATAGTGGCCTTTCCTCACTGATAAAGTCATTTTTGTCCAAATTCAACTTCAGATATATCCAAAGTTGGCAACGCCTAATTTGAAATCCCATCGACACACACGTTTTAGAACTTCTAGTTTATGTTTGTAGTCAAGTTTTTGCACAGCCAATCAAATTTTTGCAGCATTTAAGAAAAGTACCCCATAACGTGGAAACACCCATACGATCCGTTGCAGGCTGCTAGAACAAGCCTTGTGGTTGGTCAGATTGTACAAGATTTGTGATGTACATGTAATAGGCCAACTAAATATGGTAATACCCCTGACTGATTTCTAAGCTCGTTAGATGATAAATCTCAAAAAGTCACAACTTTTTGCTTTCGAAGCACCAAATCATCTTGAGTTTTGAGCAAAAAACCAGGAACACTCATGAGTTTGGATGAAATTTCCCTCATCTGACTGAAGCCAGTTTTTTCAAGAAATACAAGTACATGTACCGGTACCAGTAGCATCTCAATTACTGGCAAATGGTCCTCATTACAGGCTGCCACAGCCATGCCAGCTTCCAACCCTTTAGAGGATGCAGACAGTCTAGAATTTTTTGGTCAGCGTCCGTGGAGGCAGGGTCACCAGAGCATTGACCCACCGGATCCTCAGATGGAGAGAGAAGGCATTCTTGCCCTGCAGTATCTGGAGTCACAGGTGGACCACTCGGTGAGTAGCAATATGTACTTTATCTTGTGTGACAGGTGTGACCACTTGATGAGGTAATAATAATAATATAATTTATGCTTGCATTTCACACTATAAGTCTTAAAACGTTTCACAACGCTAGGGCTCGCAGTTCAACTTTTGGGAACGCTGCCATTTTGGCTTCAAGAAATCGGACATTTTGAGGGGCACAGCAGCTAGTGACAGGGGCAACAAGGCCAACAGTTTCTACAAAGGAAAAACACCGAGGCCAAAGATATTCCGCAAAACAAATTTTGAAACTGGAAAAATGAAAAATGGCGTTTTTTCTGTGCTTGAGCTATCAAGTTTAAATATATTATAACCCAGTAATCACTCCCCAAATTTCTTATGACAAAACATCATATTACAGGATGGAAAAAAAGCACATTTTCTGATGAAGGATTTCTTAATTCAGGGAAAATTAATTCACACAAGAGAATTCTGGGGAATTAAACCATAGATTAAACAGAGAGAACATGTTTTGTTTTCACATATCCTTTTTGCAAGTTTAGCAATCACATTCCCCAGTGCCGTAAAGCTGACTAACCCATTACCCCATGTAAGAATCAGTTACATTTGTGTAGTTGAGAATGCTGCAAAACAATAACTGTGCTTAGTGATAACCATGAACACATGACACCATAGATAAAATCACATAAGTCTGTATCCGCCCGTGTACGGCGGCACATGTGAGACTACCATGCGTAGATGCCATGTTGATCGGTCACCGGGTGCACATGCCCAGCGGTGGCCATTCAGAAAATCATGGTCCACTTCATCGCTCGCTGGTCAAATGTGCTCATGCTCTAAACCTCAATCTTTTGTACTGGAAAGTCTCTAAAACTCTTCTTGAAAAAAATCTCATTTTTAGCAGATCAAAACTTGCAGAAAACTTCAGGTTTTTTTCGTGGAACTTTCAATGAGGAGTTCGGGCACTTCAAACCCTATCATTTCATGCAAAAAAGCAATGAAAATATTATGGTCCCTGCAGGTTAGAAATCAATTTTACTGCATTGTGTCTTCAGGGAGTCTGGTGACCATGTTTTTGTGCACAAAAATGATCCATGCACACAACGCGTGTGCAGTAACCCATTTATGTCTATAACATGTTTCACTTTGGGTCTTTCCCATCAATTCAGAATTTTCTGAATAACTTATCATGGTTATGCACGGAGCAGCGGGAAAAGCTGTACATGTAAACAAATTGGTTTCCGTAGCACCTGTTACAAATGTTACTCTGTTGGGCAGGGCGTAATTGATGAAAAATACAGAAACTTATGGTACTTTTTCTACAGTAGAAATGACCGCGTATTTTACGTTCTGCATGAGGTTTTATGCTGCCTATTTTGATTAAATTTCCAAGTGGGGAAGTGCATATCTGTATACACCAATACACATGTTACCCAAACCCCTGAATAATGATTTTTCACGATTAATTAGTAAAGGTATAGGTACGATATATAACTTTGTTACAGTTAAAATAAAATCAGATGATGTCAACACTACACACACAGTCGGTAAAACCAAGCAAACTCAAAGTTAACATCTTTTTCAAAAGGAAAGTCTTCAGTTGTGATTTAAAAGTCCCTAAGTTGTCAATATTTCTAAGAAAAATTCTTAACCTGTTTCTCAGCAGAGGGGCGTAAACAATGAAAGCATGATCTCCAGAAGTCCTGCTAGGCTTTTGGCAAATAACTGGACACTTAAGTTTTAATGCGGCGCAACTTTTAATTTGAATGTTAGGGGAAGGTACCATTAACAGTCTCGGAGGTACTGTGGTGCTGACCTGCCATGGTGAATGAGTTTGAAAAAATGCAGAGAACCTTACATTTAACTTGTAACATAATTGGGAGCCGGTGTAATTCCTGAAGTATGGGTGTCATGTGTCATATCTGCATGGCGGTCATTTTGTCTCCCTGTAACCAGTCATGCAGCAGCATTCTGAATACCGGTATGTTAAAAGTTTCTTAAACTGATAATCATACAGTCCAAAAAATAAGCTGTTGCAGTAATCCAGTCAAGAAGTAACAAATGCATGTACATGTACTGGAATGAGTTTTTCAGTATTTGAGTAGCAAACAGGTGCTCTATCTTGTGTCATAGCTGGACTTAGTAGCAAACAGGTGTTTTTCTGTACTCATAGGTGGACATCTCTTTTATTTTTTTCCCGTATTGTCAGTAAAGTGTTATTTTCTAAACATCTTTTCATTGAGACTGATCCATTTGTTTTGTGACTTGACTTTCTCTGGTCACACAGTGGATTATCATACCATTGTTGAGCAGTGCAGTTGCCCAGTTTAAGAAGTACAAGTCAGCACGGATGAAGCGCTATCTCAGTAAGTTACCCATTGGTTCTTGGGGCACATGTACACTTCTTTGAACAATTGAGTTATGTGTGTTTTGGATTGTGTATTGTGTTTGGTTTTGTATATGGTCAGTTCTTCCCCTGGTCATTTTCCTTTTCAATCAATCATTATTTTACCATTGTTCCATCACACTGAAACAAGTTAACATTCATTTTTTTTACCCATGTAGTGGTTCAAATGGGGGAGGAGTACTACCATGCCAAGGACTACAGCAAGGCGCTCACGTAAGTCAGATTAAACAGAACATATGAATATCATTGAGTGAAATGAGGCCCAAATAGTGGTCAGACAAGATACATTTAGGATGTTCAAGTTTGTGTTTTCCAAATTCATCAGACATGTACATGTAGCAAGGTTACATGAGAATGCACACGGTTCAACTGTCATTAGCACAAAAACAAGAGTTGAAATGTCAACGGGATTTCACTTTGGGACTTTTACCTTTGTAGTTTCTCGGGACATTTTGTCCAAATGCATCTGCTTTTGGTCGGACGAATACCAAAAGTGAACTGAATATGTTAAATGTCTGACCTTAATCTGTGCTCTTCATATCATTCTGAAGTCACTCTTGGCCCATGTTTGACAAAGTACCCATGTTTGACAAAGTACCCATGCAGCACCTTAAAGTATAAAACTTCCCTGAAACTAAAACTCACTTAGATTGTTCAAAATCCACATTCAGGATTGAGGATGGTAGAGTCCTACCACTCTTAATTTGCGTGGAATGCTGTGTCCCTAGAAAGTTGAATTTTTTCTGTAAAAATGAAAGATTTCTATCAATTTCAGAAGATTCATATTAAAATTACCCCAGCTGTTGAAACCTTAATGTTTTGGAGCCACATCAGCTTTAAATGCTGGAGAAGAATTTTACTGACAACCCTGATCTCATCCTGCAGACTTCTTCTTTCACTTGGTTCCTTTTTATCCTGCCCAAATCAAATGCTGTAGGCTACTTGGTCGCGTGACCTGGGACTACCGCCTAGAACGATGGTGGCCACTGCTGACGTCCATATTGGGAACATCACTGAGGTAAGTCCAAGAAAAGCTTATTTATCAATCTACTTTCGATATCAAACTGTAACCACACACAGTTGCCTAACTAAAGGAAATTACTGGCCTAAATATTTCCCTTTTTGAATGATGCTGAGTGCTGCTTACCATTTCTCTCTTTCCCCTTTTGTATTCCTTCAAACCTCACCTGTACCAATCCCGAAATTTCCAGTGTCGTTTTCAATGATTGAACTGAAAACCATATTCAAAGTTAGTAGGTTTAACCATTGTATTGATGTATAACTCACCGTTACAAGTTCCCCTGTTTGTCTTAGGTGTGCGTACTTGGTAGCTAGTATAGAAGAGTATGTCACCATCTGCCTGGAGCTTCTTGGGAGATGTATCCTTTCAAATTTTTTTTGGGGGGGGGCATCAAAATGTCCCTATAAAGTTAGCAGTAAACACTTTTCGATTACTGAATACAGATATGTCTAAGGTTTGGATGATTTTGGTTATAATATCTTTCGATGACAAGTTCATTTCCAAGATGTACATGTAATTGACAGCACAAATTTATAGTGACTTTTTTTCGTTGTTCATTTAAAGGGATTCTTCACACTAGCAGTTAGAGCTTTAAGTAAAAGTGTCCATGATTGCCAAAAGAATTTTATAGGGGAAGCCTTAACTGAAGATTGTAAACCAGATTCCCAGAGTAGTCCAGAGGAGAGGACAAGGGTCCAGATGAACCTGATTCGAGTTCTTTCAGTAAGACTTTAAGTTTTTGTCTTGAAAAGTTCAAGTTGTAAACTGGAATGGTACTTTACAAATTGCCACGATTTAATATTATAAGTATTGCTTATGCAGATGTATGTCAAAGAGATGGTTTTGTAATAATCCTTTGAATCAGTTATCTGCGTAGAGGATAATTCCGAACACAAATAATACCAATACAGTGTAACAGGTAGCACCGTTACATTTTATTTACCCTATCATTTTTGGTCAAACTAGGCTGAGGCTAGTGACAGTGTGGTAAATTTCCAGTTTGGCATGGAATTGCCATGAAGTTAAATTTCATATCACTTGATGAAGTGGAAGTTGTGGAACCTGATGACGCGATAGCGTTTGCTTTCTAAAATATGTTTTGGGAATTAGCTTTATTGCTCAGCTCCTATTTAAAAAGGCAGCAAGATTTTGAAAGTTTGGAGGTGTGTGAAATCAACTCGTTCCCCACCCTTCAGAACAATTCACCAGAGCCTGAGCCAGGCTGTGCACCAGATGCCGTGGAGCAAGCACGCCACCTCTGGAAGACAATGTGTAGTCCGCAGAGCACCCCCAAGGCATTTCGAGTGGAGATGCGTAATCTGGTACCCTTCGTCGAATGCAAGGCTCGTTTTACTAGCCCTCGTTTCGCTGCTGATGAGCTGGTCAGCTTAGAAGTTTGTCTGAGGTACATTTTAATACTTTGAATGCAACTCTTAAAACTTTGAAAGACCCATGTGCTTCACTTATTTCTGACCCCATGGGTTATATATGCAATCCGTATTAAAATTAGAAGATCCAAAATTGTTAAGTTTTTTCTTCAAGGTCATTATTGTGATGTACACCTGGGTACCCGCCCATCGATATCAAAGCCTGGTTTCCCTTTTTTGGGTGGGGTACCTGTAAAAAAAATTGAAAAAATCCTCGTATAAATTCTCTGTGAACTTTAATTGTGAAGGGCTGAATTGCTGAACAATCTCCATGCTTCTAAAAACCCTGCCCAACATTTACAACTGTGGTTTAGAGATCAATAGAGCTAGTTTTGTTACTCACTCCACCCCTTGTAATACCAAACCTCTGAACACCAGACCGAAGGAATTTCGTCTTCTGAGGTGGCTGCGCCATTGATGTTCGAAAAAAAAGCCCTGTTTCAGGCACATGATCTGCCAGGATTGTGTGCAATGCTGTTTGTTAACCACTTCGAGCCGGGGGCATTCATAAATGTTGATTCTGCTGGGCTGGAGTATTTTTCCTTTTTTTTCTGTTTTCAAAATTCTTTAATATGCATATCTTCATTTACTGGACACTTACACCCACACGAATGACCGTCTGGTTTCTGCTCTAAACCGACAGACAGCATCTATTGATGCCCGAGTATTTCAGCCAGGCCTGCCACCTTGTAAAAAAGCCCAGATTGTGCGGTGTTACGTAATTTTCTTTTGTTCCCAAACCTGGCACAGTGCACTGCGGACGTTTTTCAATAGGGGCCAAATTAGCTTGCAGCAGTGCTGTGTGGCTTATTGCTGCGGTGGTAATCAGCTCGCACTAAATGCCACAAACAGTGGTATACTGTTTCAAAAAAATGCTAGATTATTTCTGCTATTGACAGTGAAAACATGTTGGTAATTCCCAGCAGCCTGGTCTTTTGTTGCAAGGCCGAGTTCCTTTTTTTTTTTGATTTCGGACACCCTGGCTGTGCATATAAAGAATACGTGTCCGAAACCAGGCTCCCCAGTAGCAAGTGGTTAATGTGTTCTTTCTATTTTAAGAGTACCCGGTATAGACATCAAACGAGTACCCGGTTCCGAAAATACCCATAAATGCACACCCCTATTGTCATGTAGGTGGTATTGGAAAAAAATGGACGTTTGGAGAGTGGTGACATTGTGGATGTCAAAGATGACATGGTTGAACATTATTTGCATTGGCCCTAACCTGTCAACACCCATTGTGGTTCTTATCCAACAAAGACCCACCAAAAGTCTGCCAAATTTCATCAAACCATGATTGCTGGGCTCATGTTGCTTCCTTTTCAAAGCAAAAAGCTACACTCTTATCAAAACTTGTCTTCCAGAGTATGTACATAGCAGTTTAGTTTTAACACTGTCATCATTTTCTATCTGCTGGATGCCCAGGTCCTCTTGTCAGTTCCCCATTCAGTTCTCCAAACTGGCCGTACAGTTGAGTAACCAGGCCTACAATGCCCAGTGCATCATCACTGATGGACGACCTCTGTCCTATGTCGAGGGCGTGACCCCAACAGCTGATTTGGAGTCCCATGGCAACCTGTATCTCATGCCAGGCAAGGTCAAGCAACATAAGTTCAAGTTTGCTGTCTTGCCTGAGGATGTGGGTCGAAAACTGGAGGTAATATCTCTTATTTATAGCATATAGGACCCAATTTCAGGGCTAATGTTTGATTTCATGTTCAGATTAACAGATGGGAAAAAGGCAAAAAAGCAATATCCGATGTGCCTGTTCCTTTTTGAAAACGGTAATGGTATGTCTCCTCTTGGAGAAGTTTGGTTCTGAGGAGAACTTGTAAACTCAGTTTTTTCAACATTGGGATCTGTTCATCTTCAGAAGTTGTCTACAGTATATACAACACAAGTGAGGGACGCAGACATTGCGCTACAACAAATGTTACTGTGCTCCTGAAATTTTAAAGTTGTGGCCAACGAGTACTCATTCGGGTACAATGAAAAAAGTGTGGTACTGAGAATTTTACCTACAGAGTTTGAGCTTGTTTGATGAGAGTTTTGGAGACGGTGTCTCCCAAGCCTTTTTCCTTGCTTGTTTGTATTTGAATGGACTTTCTGTGGATTGTGATACACAGAGCCCTAAGCTCATGATATACCACAGCATTGAGCATGCACTTTGCAAAGTTTAGAGACTACATATAGTGTTTTTTTCTCACAAGAAATGCAAAATTGAGCCGGCCCTTGCAACACTTAGTATTCTTCATTCCACTTTATAGATTTCCTCCATCTGCCTCTCCCTCGGTGATGAGGCCAATGCAAGATGTGCTGTTCTCTACTGGCAGGGAGGTGGGGCTGATGCAGCCTCACTCATGAATATTCATGAGGTGGTGACTTACACACGAGGTCCACCTAAGCCAGACCAGCTAGTGTGGGAGAGGATTAACATTGAGCAGACTACCAGGTAATCAAACCTTCTGGCGGAATCAAACATTTCCTGCAGTTTTACTTCAGAAGCAATATTGCACCAAACCCCAAAATTATGCTATATGATCATGGACAAACAGTATCTTTGCATTTGCTGAAGTCCACTTCAAGTGATTAACTGACTAAGGAGTGCCCTGTGTTGTCTAGTCCCATTTGCCATGAAGTTGAAGCAGTAAGTCAGTAATGAGACAAGACTGTTGTCTCAAGCTGTCAGCCGACTCTTATACAGTGTATGTGTGGTATATACCTGCTAATTGATCGTAGTCTGAAGGTGGAGATGCTTATCTCTTTCTCATTTAGTGGTTAAATTTTCATAAAAATTGTGTAAGCTGTGGTACATAACAAGTCATTGAAGCTATATGAAAATTCTGATCAGTATTAAAAAGCTTTTTGTATGATCTCAACCCCTGTTCTAGCAATTGAAGTCCTTGTTTACATCTAGCAATTTGTTCTCAACAGTGTGCATCCACGGCCTGCACGCGTTCACATTGAGCTGGATCATCAGCCTCCCTGTCTTGTCAACGAGTACTACTGCATGAAGGTGGCGATAACCAACAACGAAGAAGAAGCCATCACACAGCCTACGTATGTAATCATGGGGGTTAAAAGACTATGCCACTTAAATTCAGTGTCCAATTTGTGGAGGGGCGTAAGCACATATATGTTTGCTTAGCCAAGAGAGACTTTGTCCAGCACAGATGGGTTACCAGCCAAAATGTTGCAATGTGTGTTAGTAGTGACTGGTCCCGGCTGGTTTTCAGTCAGCCAGCTTGGTGGCATGTTCTGCAAGCCTGTCTATGAGATGGGACCAGGAAAAGATTTTGAAATGCTGTGAACGTCTGAGTCCAACCTATTTGGCTATGGCTAGGACTAGCATGTCTGCCTATGGAAGCCACTAGCCAGCCATTGTGGCTACTTCACATGGACTTAGATGTTATTGGCCATCCAAGATCGCTTTGATCGCAAAGAGGGTTGTGTATTTTAATGACATGACATTTAATCAACCATTTGTGGGCAATTGACAAGTTTTCCCTGCCCCCCCCAAAAAAGAATTCATTACTGTACTGTTCAAGTTTCATCTCATATATTGGTTTATGTATGTTGATACACTGTTGAGTTAACATTGCCTAGTGCATACAGATGCTTGTACTAATGACCGCTTACATCATTAGCATTGTTACAATTAAGGCTTCTGAAGACTGTTACAGGACCACACAAGACCATCACAAGGCCGACACATGACATACAGTCTGAATTCGAGTCACAAACTATTCAAATGGCCTGCAACAAAAGTATTCCTTTGTCATTATTCTCCCTTTTACTTTTAATTGTCATGTGATTGCCCCGTGATGGTCTCAACTACAAAATCAACCCTTTGTACACCTGCTTAAAAAGCAACGTATTCTGGCTTGTCAAATAATGAAGAACAGATGAGTTGGTGGAGTATAGGCAGATGAAGGGAAAGTGACTAGGTCCTGTATGTCCCAAGTGTTTATTTCAAAGAAGTTTGCTCAACTGTTGTTTGCTCAACCAGAATGTCCGTCGGATTGCAAGAAGGACAGGATGCAAGTTTGGAGAAGAGTAGTAAGTCATTTGGGATAAAACTGACAGTAGAGGTGAAATATTACAAAAATGAGGTTATCTACCCCAACCTATTAAGATTTTGCCCAAAGGCAACATCTTGTTTTGCAGCATTTTAATGGGTTCCCATTGTTTCAAATGGGATTTGGTCAGCACAGTCAACAAAGAAAGTGCCATAGGATTACTTCACCATTGGATTTTGATGGACCCAGGAATGTTCTGAGAAAGGTACTTTGTAGGTAGAGATAGCCAGCTTAAATACATTTGCGAGTTTGAACTAGTAAGTTCATCCTCTCAACAAATAGTTCAAGTTGCCATTATTGCAACTATTTTAATAAAATTTGCAATGTTTAGCTGTTTGGGTGCTGTGTGGAGATCTCAAAAGTGAACAATACCAGTCTGGTATGAGAATTTGAATCACCAGATCTCCCCAACTGATTGTGCTTATGGTGTGTTTGTACCACCAGCTGAAATCAGCTTGGACCCAGACGCTTTCCTGAAGACGACTTGTCCTGGAAGGATTAAGAACATTGCGCTTGGGACCATGAAGCAATCCAATAAGGTACTGCGGAATTTATGTGAGGAAACAATGAGTTCAAAAACGCTTAGATTATGTATGAGTAGACGTCAGCATCATTTCAGAGGAATTTTATTTTAAAAAACAGTACAATAGCTTTTCATATTTCAAGGTTGTTTTTACAAATTAGGGAACATTCATGTGTACAACTTTTCATCAACTCATTGAGATCTACTGTATTTTCACTTAGTTCAAAACTATTTTGATGTTTTTCTCACTGATTTGTCCTGTTGTGGGCTAATTACTAACTTGTGACTTGGTGTTTGTCTGGCTCCTGTTTTGTGGGGCTGCCTAATTTATTGATTGGCCTAGAAGTGATCGGTTACATGTGCTGGTCCCCTGTTGATATTTGCTTAACAAGAATATTAAGTAAGCAGTATTTAAGAAACTTATAAGCTATATGAAAGTAGGCCCTACTGGAAAACCATGCGGGTAGCTTTAATCAGTTTGTTTTAATACAAACCTTTAAATGCATGTTTGTGTCTCAGTTAACCTTATTTTCAGTTTTTGTTTCACAATTTCAAAGGGCAGGGTTCAAATTTAACAGTGGTCCACTGGCCCGGGGCCACTGAAAATTAATCAGGCCACTGCATTCTCCAAAAATGACTGCCCAGTGGGACAATGTTCATTTGAGGAACATTGCAACATATTTAAAACTTTCGCCACACTTGATGACTTGTGTCTCGAATCGCCGGCGCAGCACTTTCAAGTTCACAGTATAATTCCACTGTCTGCACGGCCTAATTACCTGCTATAATGCGCCAGGCTCGTGTAGCACACACACGTAGCACGTTGCACAGTTGTTCATACACGTTTCAAATGACCTGAGTACTGATATGTTGGCTGGTATCATTTTCCAACAAATTTAACGTTATTTCCCACAGACACCAATGAAACCTTTACAGTTTATGTGGTGTTGAGTCTGCATCGGGCTGATTGTCAAGTATAAGCAATGTAACCTCAAATTAAATTTATGAAAACAAAAAATAGATATAGGCCTATAGACAACAAATCAAATTCTGGGAATTATCTTGTAGAAATCTTCCTGCGACATTTTTTTTATGTACAGCTGTAGAGTTGTGTGTGTATAGTGAATTGTACAATGCTATTTTGACCGGGATGCATGGACTGGTTGCCACATTACCTTCATGCCTTCTTTGGCAGTGGTGCAGCGCAGCGGGAACCAGTGAAGCCTTGCTTCCATGCATCAAACAATATTGTGTGCGTGTTTTCACCACTGCGATAGCAAAATCCGAAAGGAACTTGTCAATATAACGGAACTTTCTTTCCAAAGGTTGCAAATGTAAGCAAGCAAAAAAAAAATACATGCATTTAAATGTGAAAAAATTGCTGAGAAGTGTTTTTGTGAACACAGGATTTTTTCCCTTTTTTTTCAATTTTTTTAATTTGTTTTTCTAACTTACCAATATAAATTTTGTAATCATGCCAAAAATTTAGGATCAGTCACGTAACCAAAAGCAATTTTTTGGTGGCCTCAAAAAGTGCATTTAAATCCCACCAAGGTGGCCAATCAGCTGTTTTAGTAGAGAAGTTCGACTGTCGCAAATGGGCATATGTGATGGGTCTGATCAATTTCATTACATGTACTCAACCCAGGGCATCAAATTTTCATGAGGGCCAGTGCAGTGCACTTCCCACTGGCCCTGCAGCCCACCCATAGATTGAAGTCAGTTTCGACTCCTGAAGGGTATTTTACTGCCTGTTTGATTTTTATGCTAATGTATTTCCATATTCACGAGCAAAACTGTGATGTCATCCAGGGAAAAAGCCTCAATATTACTTTGGGTTGCCCTTACAAAAGTCCTGCAGTTTTGTAGATTTTTGTAGAGATGAACTCGGTTTGCTTTTCTTTGCTGCTTCAAATATGTGCGTAGCAATAAGCAAGCATCGATCCTTTTCTCAGAAATGTCAGTAAGGAAATTCTGGGTTTATAAATTGAACAGAAAAGCCTGTGCACTGAACTCTGTCTTCCGTAGATAACTTCACAGCAACATCGCCCTCAGTTGTCCAAGACAGCAGTGTTACTTTTAATTGTATTAAAAGGAGCATTTCTCCGTACATTTAACCAATCTATTTTTATTATTGTTCTTATTGTTTTAACCAGATGGAGAGCCCCTCGAAAAAAACCATGTTTCTTTTGAGTAATCCTGTGGGAGCTGGTTAAATACTGTTTATTCGTCTTTTGTTTGTCTTATGTATTCTCTCTCTCTCGTGTACACTTTGTTATTGTATTCCGTGAAATGTTGATCGCGAAAAATGAAATAAATGAAATGAAAGTAGGAAGGTAAGGCCAAACAAAAAATATAGCTGTGTTTCCGATTACCTGATCCAACCTAGAAAATCATGCGAAACCTATATCTTTTTATTCACCAAATCAATAAAATATAAAACTTATGGTGCCTTGCCCCAAACCCAATTTTGTGTACATCGTCCTGAACATTGTATTGTTTTAATTTTTCTTTTTGGGAATGAAATGGACGGCTCTTGTGTGTTTGTATTTCGACAACCAGCTGCTTTACTACTCAATCACAGTGCTGATATGTTATATTGGCATGCACATGTACAGTATTAATCTGATTTACTACCTGTGCCTCTTTGGTAAAAAAAGTTTTACCCAACCAACCGCCTTAATTTATTTTTCAGTGTAATAGGAAACACAACTTATTTTTTGTTTGGCCTAAAAGAGTTTTTGTATCTTAAAGATGAATACAACGTTGACGAAAAAGTGTGTTTAAGAAAAATTCATTGCAGCTACACTTTAAGGAAACTTTGTTAACATAGATTGCTACAGACAAATTTCTGTTACACGTTCAGTGTGTTACTGTCAAATGCTTCAATTCTTTACCACTCAGGTTGAGAAGACGGTATACATGCGCTGTACCCAGCTGGGCAGCCGTGTCATCAGCGTGCGCGTTGTGTACAATGTGGAGGTGAAGATAGCCTCCAGCGACCGCCTGCAGCCAGTATCCTGCACCTGCTACCAGGAGCAGTCTGTCTCCCTGCAGAGCATCCTACCTTTTGATGTCTCCATTCATCTCACCTCCCTTAAAGTTAGTAGATAAAAGAATCCACAATTACCCTAACTGAGTGAAATATAGGATTAACCCGCAGATTGGAACCCAATACCTGCAGCTCCCAGATGTGAATTGGGCCTACTGGGGACAGCATTGTACGGGAGATTTCTGTTCTTGGGATAGGCTGAGCTTTGAGATCTGTTAAGTGCCCCCCCCCCATTTCATGGCACTGCTTAACAGTTAACCGAAGAGTCGTGCTTACTGTAGCAGAAAATTTTGCTTACTGTAAGCACGATGTCATGCCAGTGCTCAGTGTGGTAGAGCTTGCAGTGCGCACACGTACAGATTTCCCTTATTTTGTCAGCAGTGTTTTCCTCCAAGGTAAGCATGTCTTTTGCCACGCTTACTGCTTACAGTCTTTATGAAGTACACAAAATCTCTGGTAGTAGGAAGTTGTGTGCTTAGCGATGCCGTAAAATTAGGCCCTGTCAATGGAAGTATTTGGGCTTAAGCTTTTCTTTGGTCATGTTATGACTGGTTTTGTAAATTGACTGACTTTGTTTAGGCAAAGTCAATGATGGATGGCTTGTACACGTGTATGTATTGTATTTATGTATCGACAGTTCAAGCCTATCGACTATGTGAATTCTGGGAGGTCTTTTCTGCTCATGACAGACATCAGGTGTACCTCCCCTTGGCCTGTTGCCATTTCAAACTCCACCCTCAAATTGGTAAGGATTGCAGTAAAATTGCACTTGTCTTTATAAAAAGTGTCAGTGGTACGTACACATGACATCCAAGTCATGCTCTCTAAATTTTTGTGTTAATTACTCATTGCTTTGCATCAGTGACCGAATACATAACCATGGGTAGTTTTGCATGCTGAAGTTCACGCTGCAATATTTGCTGGATTTATATGAAAATAAGCAACATTTGGATCCATTTCTTGGATTAACTCGAGCCAGCCATAAAATCCTACACCAAGTTTCGTGATATTTTGACGGACTCTGACTGTAGGGTCCAGCTTATGTTGAATAGTTCGTATTGAACTAGATGTTCATAAAATCCTCAGGTAATACTGTATAGATATTAACTTGGAAGGAAACTTAAAAATTAATCCATATTTACAAGGCACGTTTTCATGAGACACAAATGATGAATGTAATCTTCTTTTTTTACAATATTAGGAAATTACCGCGGTCTTTTCAGACCATTCATATTTCAAATCTCGGTTTGATCATCCGTAGCAGTAGAAAATTAATGTTGCCAGTTGTGTGGTCTCATGATTAATAATAGAGTGCTATCCAAATGTCACATCAAAGCATATGCCATTTGCCCACGTATTTCTTGTTGCTTTTGTAGAAGGATGGAGTAAGGCCGACTGACTCTCTAGAATCACAAATCAGCAATGGTGAGTTCCATCAGTTGTCAGTGTCACAGTTGACAAACTCTCTAGATGATAGATAAGCCTGTTAAAAGAAATGACATCGTTCCAGTTATGAAAAGGGGTTGTTGCTTTAGAAAAAGTGTTGTTCACACATGAATAAACTTCTTATGTATCATTTGCCCACTCCTTTTGGGCATTGATGTTAAGGTGAAATTTTACATTTTCCTCCTACATTCAAACTTAATTTTTTTCATGACCACTCTCATTTTGTAGCAAAGGATTACAAATAAATTTAATAAAGTTGGGTCTTAAAAGCAGAATCCAAGGGTTGTTTTTCTACTTCAAATTATTTCTGAGTCAGAGGTCTGTTGTTACCCTACCTGGATTCTTCATGTAATCATAAAATAGCTTGTGGTAACAGAATTCATGGCTGCATCCAAATCTGTTGTCTAGAGCTAGGACTAGGTCTTCACTTCATTGAAAACATGTGGAGACATGCTGATGTTAGGCATAACCATAGCCTTAGAAGCCCATGGTTCAATTTGTATTGATCCGCTGGAGAAGCGAAAACATCATCAGTTGCCAGTGTCAGACAAGATGGTTAGGTCATTACTCCATTATTTTTTTCACAGTTGTACTGAAGAACGAGGAGCATGCTAGCGAATGTGTCTGTGTGCAAGCCCCAAGCCACCCTGATAGCGGACTCATTGCCTTGGGAAGCTGTGAGTTGGAATGGAAAAGGTATCTGGATTGTATGTGTTCAGCTGATTACGTCGACTCTTTCCACAAAGTGTACAGTTAAATAAAACGTTTTGCAGTAACTCTTAAGGCCACACAGTTTCAGTCAAAGTGCAGTTAACTGCCACAACTGCTAGAATTCCTTGTCTGTGCTTCCAGCTTGTACATTTAAAGTGTGGCTGTTGGTTACCATTGTGGTATATGACCAACCTCGAAAACTACATGTAGCTCCAAAACATTTGGTTATTCTAGTCCAACTAGTACAGAAAATTGTGACTTTGATCAGAGTTTTTCAAATCATGGTTGATAATTGTTTTTGATTGTATTAGTTCCTTGATGTCTTCTTGCTTGTCTCTTGCGAGTGTGCTACTCAGCACTCTCTAGACTCACCCCACAGAGAGCAAAAAATGCCTTATGTATTGATTCTTTGATTTTTCCGTCTTCTGACAGGGATTCCATCAATGACAACCTCCCTCCGGTCAAGACGATCCTGCCTCTTCCTGAGGTCAGCATCCAGCCCCTGCCACTGTCCATCGAGACAGATATACCAGCATTTGGCGTGGTACGGTCACCACTGTTGGTCAAGTTCACCATTTCCAATCAGACGTCTGTCGTTCAGGCGATTGAAGCCAGCGTGCAGGCTAGTGAAGCATTCATGTACTCCGGACACAAACTGGTAGGTGATGGAAAGACGCTTTATAACATATTACAGTACCTGTGTTTTATTCATCCCTATGCACTAGTTTATGCTTCAGTCTAGTGTGAATTTGAAGCAAAACATTTGCAGGAGAAATTGATTGTAGCCAATTGTTATCGAATGGAGCAGAAATGGTTGCCATTTACACTGGCAAGTTGCAATGCAGTGACATTCACAGTCATTAATACTAAGCATTTGTAAACTGTGCATGATCTGGACATACAGTATAGTAGTCATGCAAAGGAGCCATTGAAAAGTTAAATATTTAGAATTCCATGTAGAGGTCATTATGTGCACGAGAGAAACCGATTGAAGAGTTGGGCATCTAGGTGGTGAGTGAAAAGGAAGGGGTAATTTACTCCTCTTAAATCATGTGGTAAGAGGTTCCACAGACATAATGCAAAGCTGTGAAATGCATGAATTCTGTAGCCTAAGGGACTTTCAGTAAATTTGTCACAGTTGACGATGTTGCCCCGTAATCCATTCACTTAAATTAATCCAATTCACCATCCTTTCATGTAGCTAATCCCTGTCCATCAACCTGTTTAATTGAACATGATGCAATATTCCTTTTTTCCATGGAACATGTGAATCACATTGACTTTCATATTAGTGGGTGTCACTAGTGGGGGGGCTTTCCCCTGCCCTCTGGGAAAAAATTAAGAGGGAAGAAAAGAAAAAAGAATAACAAAATAAAGAATGGATGAAAATCCTCAGTTTACTTGCGAACACCTTAGAATCGGCTCCCATTCCAGTGTTGGTTTGTCCTGAATGCTTTACCACCCTGCATGTACATAACCTAAGGGTAGCCCATCTCTTCTCGCTCCATTTCAAGGTGTTCTTCAGGATCCTTCCTTCCTCCAGTCAGACGCTCTCCTACAACCTCTACCCACTGATAGCCGGCTATGTCCAGCTCCCCGAGCTCCAGTTAACTATCCCACAAGCTCCTACCATGACCAAGGACATTGTAGCCACCATGTTGCCATCACACATCTATATCAAGGTCAGACCCCTCCCCTATATTCTGCTTAAAACCCTACATCGCATACATCACAAAGCATGAACTACGGTCAGACCATAAGTCTAATTTATTCCAACTGCACTTGCATGCAGTACTGTCCCTTGTTAAACCATTGGAATAATCCTGTCATTTACTTTTATCTGTTTGTTGTATTTTTCTCTGCATATAATAATACGCACAATGTTTCCCACCTGTTCGTAACACTTGTATCTTTTCTTGTTTTACAGCCTCAAGGGAAAACCACATGAGTCTGACCTGCAAGCTCATACTTCTGTTTTCTACATCCCTGAAACAACTGTGCAATATAATTTGTATAACTAACCAAGCACAATAGTTACCGAAGCATATACTGAGTTTGGACTTTGAGTTGGAGCAGCAGTGTTGAGACACACAACCTTTCATGGCAAGGCAAGCAGTATCACAACAGAGGCCTTGCGTAGCCATCTTGCAGGGCAGTTCTTTTGTTCTGCGAGGAAACCTCCTTTGTGTATACACTGTGGATCAAAAGCATTGGCCGGCAAGATGCCAGTCATGCAAACCCTCTATACTGTATTTTGCCAAAAGGACTGAGGCTCCAGTCCGACTGGACTCTGTGCATGAATGAAAGGGGGGGGGCACTTGGTTAGTAAGCATCATCTCTTTTTGCCAACACAATGGGTCTCGTGAGTAAGGTACAGAGTACCCATGCGTAATTTTTCATACAAAATGCACAAACCACGTCTTTGCATTGGTACAACAACTCAACAGTCATTCCATCCCTAGTGTTGGCCCAAGACTTTCTGTTTGATTATATTTGCCTCCTACACATACATGTACATCCACCCTGTCGCAGTAAAAAAAAAATGCTCGATCAACGGAGGTCACAATTTACCGGATAATGACCCCATTCTGTAGTAACAAATCTATTTTTGGGATGCATTGTTTCCAGTGTAGTGTAAAACTGAACCCTTTTCTCATTTTATTAACAGTCATATATACTCTCATTTCCCTCGTTGTAACCAATTGCCCATTAAAAATCATCCCAGACACGGCATGGCCACCTTCAACAATTAACATAATTATTGTAATTTAACGTACATGTTTTTGGATTGCCTCTTCTACGATTAATGTTCGGCTGTACATCCATCATAATTGTACCTTCATCATCATAATGGGTCATTAAGACAAATACACTCTGAAACACTTCCTGTAATGATTTTGTGTACTGTTTTGCAATTATGGGTCTTAAATCCTTAAACAGCTGTTGCAATAGGGCTGCCATACGACCTCCAAAACGGTGTCGAAAACGAAATCCGCAATCTGTTGCCGACAGATATTTTCTTCAAAAACCGACTCAAAATTGTTACAACAAAGGTTCATTAATTGATTTGCAACAGCCTGAAGTATGAACAGGATGTCAGCTATGAAAATGAAACTGTGGTCAGGTGCGCAGTGAATGAACGGTGTGCGGGGCTGTAATGTGTGAAATTTGGCAGAACGGGAACAATGTGTACAATGGGATGATGGATTCATAATCTGTTAATAAGATCTCCCTCCCAACAGCTGTGACGGAGCTTGAATAGGAAGAAACCTCCTTTGGTCGTTGGAATTTTCAGACAAAAACAGCTTACATTGATTCCATAGCAATCTGTTCCAGTCTTGCTTTATAGGTGTTTATGTTTTGTCAGATCTGATGATTCATTCTTACATTTGAAACTGAACTTGTATGTACTGTTAATAATCAGTTTAGGAACTACTGCCTGTATTTTATAAAAATGCCAGGATCAACAGTGATCTTGTGTGGGAAGAGTAATTATATGGGCAGGATTTCACCAAATTTTTATTTGGGAGGATTGGATTGCAAGGAGGTGAACTGACTGGATTTTGATGAAATGCAGAAGCAGAAATGCTGAACTGAAATGCATTTCAATTTTATTGATGATAGAATGTATCCTTTTGATGTGTACACACACAAACCTGCTTTCCCCTTTTCATTATATTTGTTGTGTTGGAAAGCACTGCATGTAGCTGGAACTTCTCGATAAAATTAATTAATTTTGTCTTACATCTAACAATCTTTAGACATGTGGAATTTTCCAGAGGTGAGAAAAAAGTAATGTAACCATTCAGAGATATTCTACTAGAAATGCATTTAACTCCTCTAACTCTGAACATCTTACATTAGAAAACTAAGAGACGTGTAGTTGTCACGTTCTGTTCCTCTGTAAGTCTATGTAATGAAATTGTAGTAATGTATATGTAAGTTCTGCAACCTGTATGGCATTCCTGAAACTGTGATGTGCATGTTGGAGTTACCATACTGTATGTACAGTACTTTTTTTTAAGACTTTGTGTTTATCCAGCCCTATGATTCTTTTCTAGAGTGATACCATTACTCCTGCTTTTTTTTTCCATCCCTGTAATCCCTTTTTTAGCCCTCACATCTCCACTCTTCAACTTTGACTACTGTTTCCTTTGATCTTTGCCTTCTCTGGTCTCCCCAGTATTTATCCCTTTCGTTTTGTCCCCCTTGCCTCCATTCCTTGTTCCCACACCCATGTTCCATGTACATGTGCTGTTCATCCTTTTGCCTTTCCCTCCTTCCCTCTCTATTGCCCCCGCCCCCCTCTGTTCATGCATTTCCCACTCTTCTTCAGCCCCGTACTGGTGTTTAAGACTTTTCTAAGTTTAGGATGTGTTTTAATTTTTGTAATGATTATGGTTATTTGTACAATTTATTTGCAAATTATTTCATTCAGAGATTTTATCTATTTCTCATGGATGCCTGTAACTTAGTGGCGGGTAACCGTTGTTGGTCATCAGAAATAAATCAAATCAAATTAATTTAAAGTTAGTGGATAAATGCACTGGTGTAAAGTGTGATCCGAAAGACTTGTACACTTTCTGTAACTACATGTATTAGTTCTTAATAGCAAAATAAACAGCTAGTAGTGAAATATAATGTGGTTGTATCCTCTGTAATTACTTATTCTTTTTGCACATAATGCGGTGTGCTTGGTTTCATATTGCATAGACAATTCAAAAACCAAACATTTAACCGTTCTTTCAATGAATTTCCAAGTTTTGCTCTATTCCGACTAACATCAATTTAATATGAATTGTCATGACATTTTAGAGGGATCTTTTTAGTTCAAGTGAAAGCATTTGTTGAATGCACATCATTGCAAAATTAAAAAACCAAAAAACAATGAATGAAAAAGCAAAAACAAATGCAAAACACCGGCTTTATTTGATTCCTTCAGATGTGCATAGCGAATGCCTTGTTAGTTCCTATGTCATGTATCTGCACATTGTGAGTGCTTTGTGGACGGCTGCATCTGTAATTTTCATTCCTACAAATGTCAGGGTCGTCACCGTGTTATTGGCATGCCCGAATTCCCACGTTTCCAGCAACTCAGGAACACTATACATTTTACCTTTGCTGTGCAGTATCTGAGCAATGTGCATTGCCCGTTTGTTAGAATTAACTGTGCGGGCATCTTAAAATGGATAGCAAAATATAACTTAAGTTTTCTTTTTCTTTTTTTTTTCGTTGATTTGCTGTTACCGCGTCTGAAAAACTTTTTGTCCTATAGCAAATTTGTATGGTACCGCGAATCACCGACAATATTGGCTTGGCCAAAGCCGGTTACCAACCAAAGCGGCATGCAATATATTGGAGTTGACTGGTAACTTCATGTACGGGTAGTGATTAGAGCTCGTGAAATAATAAGCTCTACGGACTTTTTTATGTGGACTTCTCTCGACAAAAATTCTGGAGGACACAGCGCGCCCCGGGACTACGACGACTTCCTTCTACGAAAGACACAGAGACGGGTATGTGTGTTTCACAGAGACTTTCTAACGATCCAAGTCATCATCACCAACATCTTCACAGAGTAGAATTCCACCAGATCCTTAACTGGAAAGCTTTCCAGTAAGTTATTACGGTTTACCGGCTGTAGAAGTAAATTTGTGCAGTCCTTTGTCAAGTATAGGCCTACAGAATTTCACCTGCATGATTTTTGCGTAACTTTCCTTGCCTCCTTACCTCGTTCAAAGCAAACCTTTGCTCGCTATTCCTTGTGTTCGGTCTTTGACAATTCGTACATCTTTCATTTTTGGAGATCCATTATTTGCTTTCTTATTACTTTGGTATTGAAGTCTTCTTTGTTTACAGAGAAAATAGAACCCAAGGCCAGTTTTTCTTAGTCATTCAAATATCTGTTACTGTTTTTGTTCGGTATAGGTCTGGGTGATTTATGAGCTCGCGAAAAATGGAAACAAAAACAAAGGGAAACTTCTGGCGCGCAGTGCGAATTCAAACAGTGTCTTGGCCTATTCATGGGGCCTGCGGCGATTTCTGCTCTATTTAATTGATAAAAAAAACTCGATGAATTGATGGTCGCAGACGGCTTGTAAACAATTATTGATAGGCAGGCCCAAATGACACCTGGCCTGGTAGCATGCAACAAAAGGCACAACCTTGTGGAAATTCAATGACGAAACTTGCAAAAGCTCAGAGAGAGTTGCATATCGCGCGCGCTGAAGTTTTACCGGCTGGTACCAGCGCTTGTTAAGTCTAAATGCATGCAGGTCCCCACCATATTAATAGTAATAGTCAATTAAGATCCCATATTATCACTTGGTTATTTTTTTTTTGTTTCAAACATTTTTCTTGGTTATCATCAAGAATAGTCGATTCGCACCCTTAAAAGGTCCGGAGTCTTGTTCTCCTGCAGTGAATTCAGTTGAGATAACTTGGCCAACGTGTATACCTACCGGAAATTCATTTGAGCAGTTCTGCTGTTGGTGCTCACCTGATAGTCTGTCAGTCTGTGAACTGTCTGCAAAGTACGGTGGGAGTATGAGGCGTTTTGAGTGCTGTATTTGACCATGCATGCGTTAACTCTCACATGACCTCCCACAATTGCATAAATGGGTGATACACTGTTTTCCTGTTTTGTTGTATATTGAAACAGATTCTTTATCCCTGTCCGACATTGCGGTTTTGGTGTGTTTCCCGTTGTTTTACCTTATTTGCAAGAGAAATAACGCCTTGAAAGCTTCAAAAGACATGTGCCTGTATAAGTGACCTTGTCCGACATGGTTCATGTGGTCGGGCCAGGTGCCACAGATTTCATTTCCGCTCAGTCTTTTTCAGTCATTTTCCCTCGTCATTTGTTCAACGTTTCACGCACCATTGAAGCCTAATTTTTTTGATACAAACACCCTGTGCACACAGTATTCGGGCCCCGCTTGCGGCGTAATAAACGTGTACAAGTGCCATACGCAGTCGAAGTTTGTCGAGGGTCTGTAACAAGGCCTTGTGCCGGTGATCGCGTCGGGTGTCTAGCCTCTGGCGGCCGTGTGTGACGTGGCGACCGCGGCGGTACGAGTTTCCCGCACTCGTGCGTGATACAACCTATCCAGCCACAGCCGACCAGCAGTTGGTGCATTGCTCACATGCGCATCCGATCTCGCGGTCATGGCGGCTTGAGTCCTTTTTAGGGACACTTTCTGACACCGACTGACGCGATGTTCTTGCTGATTATACAAGCTGCTGAATTTTTAACAGGCGTCGCTGTACTGACGTCGTCCATTAACGGGTTAATTATGATATCTCATAATGTTCTGCATTGTGTTAAAAGTAGACTAGATTAAATTTTGAAGTTTGAAAGACCCAGGTGTTCATGTTATAGGCTTCACTGCCTGCATGTGATATTATTGTAATTGGTGTTGTCTCGAAGGCTTGTTGTGTTTTAATCACTTATGTGTAGGCCCCCATTCGATTTTTGTTTAAACCTTTTATTGCAAGAGGCTTAGGGCCTAGATTGTCTGATTTCCGCTGAAGTTCTCGTATGATATTAACTTTAACGTATCCTGTGTTAATTAAAACAAATGTCAAAGTCTATCCAAAGAATAGCCAAAACTACAAGCTGTAAGAGATAAACTTCCTATAATTAATTTTTTTTCAATTTTGAATTCCTGTCTTTATAATGGGTACAATTATGCTAAAATCTGTGGTTCCAAGCCCAATTATCTCATGACAAAAATATTAAAATTATGTATACAGCTGATTTTATTTTATTTATTTATGTATTTTTTAGGGCTGGGTAGGGCTAATCTGAGTGTATCATTGTCCAACAGCCCCTCACTCCTCCAACGCCTATACATGTATTCCTGAAAGAGAATTGTTCCTTGTTTTGTCTTGGTACAAAACCATCTTTTTATATTGTTGTTCACCATCTTCACACGTTTTCCCACATCTGTATAAGCACGACCTTGTAAAACGAATCGTCATTGTACACCCCACTCGATTCAAGCACCTGGTATCCAACATGTGATTGCTGGTTTATAAGGCAGCCTCTAATGTGTACATTGTCATTTGAATAGCGGTTTTAGGCTAACTAGCCCATTGTGTATACCTAGTCCTTTTTTGTGTTTTGAATCTTGGCATTATCTTCACAGGGGTGCAGCATATGGGGAGATCACGGGAGGGTGTGTCCCTTTGAGGGACAGGCAACACCATCAATGTTTTGGGTCAGTTGAAATGTGGTTTTCCCAAGTAGAAACTGAAACAGATTTGTGAATCCTTATCAAAACACTCATATAGCTTTGTTGAAACAAAATATTTTCCAGTTCGATAGAATAGCCCATGATACAGTTTTTAACAAGTGTATTTCAAATTCTATTTAACTTTTTCTCGTAAATTTTTGAGCAAGTTTTCCAATAGTTTTCCCCTGGGTCATTTTTGGCCACTACGGTATTCGTTTAAGAACTTCATGCATTGGCTGTGATGAGAACGTCAGAAGACCAAATGCATATCTGTTTTGGTTTTGTTTTGTTTGTTTTATTTTGTTTTTTCATCATAACTATTCAGGAGATATGCAGTGCATGCTTTGGCTACTCTGACGTTGTTCACAAGCTTTGAAGGAAGTTGTTCAGAGGTTTATATTATGTTTCAAGCCCAGTGATTATATGTCAGCTTAGTTTGTAAAATACATGGTTACATATTTTTCATAAGAATACTTTGGGAAAGATTTTGGCCATGAACGGAAGATTGTCAGGTTCGTTTGTAATTTTTTTAAGGTGCCCCTCATCTGTAGCTCCGAAACCTGCTAAATCGCCGTGAATACAAAGTATTAGTGACTGAGTGCCGTTATTCATTTTACCATCAGAAAAAGAGGAAAGCATTAAGACAGGAGACTGAAGAAGTCCACAGCATGAATTATGAGGGTCACGCTGGTGTCTCAGCCCGGCGTTGTGCCGACGTGAGGCACGCTGAGGGTTCCTCAAAGACGAAGAGCCCGCGGGGTCGTCTATCCCACGTTGTGTTTTGTGCTGCATCTAATCGAACGAAAGTCCCACCGATCTGTCGTAGGGAAGCCGATTGGCGAAACTTTCATTCTAAAAGACGGAACAGTTCGGTCGCTGATTTCCTGAGATGCGGGGTCATGCTGTACGTCCCGTGTCCGAGAAGCTATGGGCCGCATCTTACTTTAAACAAGAGGGTGCTCTCCAAAAGTTGTCAAATTCCTTAACCGTAACGGGCCTACCGATTATGCCCATACCAATAGCTTAAGGTGTACTTTCAATGTTATTCCAAACCTTCATCCTTAATCCCAGCTGAATAATACACGAGTCGATCTGAGTCATGATGTAAACGTAACAGGCAGTAGTGTAAGATATATGTAGAACATGCATTTAAGAGCTTATTGCACAACGCAATATTCCTTTGCAGTCGCGGCGATTAGGTGAAACAAGGTGCATTACATCCTTCTCAGTAGCTCCTTAAGCAAAAAGGCCACTGGTTGCCTTTATCGACTAAAGGACAATTTCCAGGCGCCCATTGCATAGAGCTCCAGCATGCCGTCACGCAGCAGTTTTAGGATTGGGGGGGGGAAGAAAAAAAAAGGACTTGGGCTTCTGTGTTTGAACATTTTCTTGAGAACAGAGCCGAATTGCCCCCCCCCCATCACAACAGTGAAATTTAATTATTGACGGTTTTTCAAAATGAACATTTCGCAGACGTGGTATCAGGACAGCTTTTAGGAATGACTAAGTGTGATTGGGAACAGTACAGCCACGACTTCCCCTTACTCCTGCACGAAACCCCTTTGAATTTTTACCCCTGATTTGTTGGCCACTTACAATCACTGGTATTTGTTTGAATATGTTATCTATGATTCTTACGGTGTTTCTTGTTTTGAGTGATATCCCACAGCGCTCGAGGGAGTAGTTTCAGATGAAAGATAATTCAGGAATTACTTAGATGTATGATCTGATCGTAAAATGTCATTGGGGTAATGTGAAATACAAACCTATCTTCCATAATTGCATTGTTCATAACATTTAGAACAACTGCAAGTTTGAGAGTTTGTTATAAAAGTAAAGGTCCAACTTTATACAATAAGCATTATGAGCCTGCTTTGTCTACTGTAATTTAAAATTTTCTGTATTCTTAATAATGCATTTTTATAGACCAAAATTCATGTAATAGATCTTCTGTTTTTGGACGAGGTTTATTCTGTCAATCTGCTTGAAAATGAAAGTCACCCAAAGAACCTCTGTGGGCATTTATTGGATTCAAAGCCACAGTAAAATCATTCGTTGGGCCAAAACATCCGTTGTAAGCACTGTGTAACACGCCCAGAGTCATGTCAACCCTTTCGTGCAATCTTCTCTGTGTGCTTGTCTAAACGCATGCGGTTTTTTTCCAATTGTGGATGAGTCACATCGAACTCACAAGGTCGGGCAAGGCCAACTGGCCTGGCGCCACGTTCTCTCGACCGCCCAATAACCCTCAGCCCGCCCATTCAAACCTAAACTCGCTGGCCGCGAATTAACTAATTTCTCTCCCTTTCAAGTAACCCCCTGAAGATGAAGACTGCAATTTTCCTTTGTTGCCCGCGGTCTCAATAAGGGTTAGGGCAACAACGACAGGGGAAAACATCCTTGGGGCATTTTGAGGCACAGAGAATAATTTCTGTCTTGCCTTTTTTCTTCTCACTTGGTTACGGAATCGATGACATAATGGCGACCGCTAACAACGTGTCTGACGCAAGCTCTACGAAGTTCAAGGTGATGTGTCAGCGTGACCCGCGAGTGGTTCTTGGCAGGTAGAATCTCGCTGGCCTTCGGCCTGTCTCCTTTAGAAAAAGCGGTCGGCAGACGACCTTCCATCCGGTTGTCTTTTGTCCGCTGCATGTTGTTTCGAGCCTCACATAACGGCATAAATTTAATGCCAAACTCAAAAACAAACCAGCAAAGAATATATCGATTGGGAAGCAAGTTTCTGTTTCAAAAGCTTCAGCAAATCAATTATCATCATTAGTAACGGCGGGCCTTTCTTTTTCTATTTAAATGTGAGTCACTTACATTGTCAGCTCGGCTCTTAGCAGCTGCCTACTTTAATTTCCAGCTAACGGTTTTATTGACTTCAATTCACGACCATGTTTAACTGCTCTATCTTGCATCTTTACATGCCCTTGAATGTTTAACACAGTATGTCCTTAATGCTCTACCGGTACCTCCGCATGGTTGATGGCTTTTATCGTCCTGTGGGTCGCTATTAGCTTAATAACCCTCCCTACAAGCATTCTACACAAATTAATGGTTTTGTGACAAGATTCGACAGGTCAAGTCATATAGGTTCCAGGGGACTCAACCGAAGCCTACTCCCCGTTTTTGCAAATTCCCTTATTCCACGAGCATTTCAACTTGCACGTCTTTCATCATGATGGTTAGAGTTTCTCTCCACTCTGTAAAATATCGCTGTAGTGTGCAGTATTGGATTGTGCATGTATTTCACAGCAATAATTGACTGTAATCCAGTTTGTTACGCAGTAGCATCAGTAGCATTACCGTAATTGGGATCAACAGTAACGTGGCAAGGTAAAACCCAGCCGATCACAGATTACTCTATAAATTTATGGTATGGTGATTTGACGATTCTTAGTGTTAGGTGTTACAGTATCTATTCAAATGAATTTCAAGTCCAGTAATCGCATGAATGTAGCATAAAACAGTGACTAACCGTTTTTTGGAAGTTTTTTTAAACTTTAGGGTCTCATAAAACACGCTCACGTGGATAAAGCGTTTCAGTCAAACCTGTCAAGGTTAGTTAGTGTGGTTTCGTAAAATTATGAGAAAGCCTACAAGGTTAATAATTTAATTCAAATCAAACAAAGTTCAATAGGTAAGTTCATAGGTCCTCGTTTTGGGAAAACAAAATCCTTGTTTTCTAATACGGAATAAAATCAGTGTAACTCAGTCAAATTTATGAACTGGACCCCTTAAGGAAATTATGCGATATACAAACACCGTTCAGGGTAAAATAGAAAATCAAATACTGGTTCCATTTTGATTGGCAACCATATTATACATAACCACATGACAGAAACCGGCTCAGAAGATTTATTTTTAAAAACGAAAAAATAAAGTTAAATATAAAATCATTTTATTCACGACTCAGCCCCGGTCGGTGCAAAAGCTGTTCCACTATAATTCTAACCTCTATTTCAACCCGTTTCTTTGAACTGCTCGCCCGCGTGGATCTTTGCCCCCGCCTCCACGCGAATTATTTCTTTACCCAGCATTCCTTAAAGTCTCGTGAACTTGACCCGAGGTCAAGTTCCAGTCGATTTCATAATTACATTAAGTCCTTTAATTTCCCCGCCATGTTGCCGTGGCAACACAGCCTTCCTATCAGACTTGGATATGGTTAGGTCTGATGTAGTAGTGAAACAAATTATGTTGTGCTTGTCACACAGGAAGCAGTAACCGATCGCTAGAACCCTGACAAAAGTGAGGCAGAAAGGCTGTCATCACAATGAAGATGCACTGGGAGATTTTTCCGCCTTGGTAATTAATATACATTCCGTTATTTCCCCCAAATAAAAAAAAATACATATGCGTGTCTGATTTCAGAACTAAATTGAAAAAAGAATGAAGACATTGAGTAAAGGTGACGGCAAAAAAACAAAGTGTCAGGATGAGTTGAAGCAATGGGAGATGTCGATAAATTTTAAGTATATCGTCTTGATGAGTCAATCACTATTTCTCGAAGCTAAAGTGATATTCACACAACCATATAGCAATTCATTTGGACGAGCATGCCAAATGGCGTCTTTGAGTATCGCCGAGGTCAGAAGGTGTGATTACCATATTCAAGATAAATGATTTTCATGAATGAAATCTGCATATTTTCTTTCAATGCTTTGAAATACCACATGATTCATATGAAGTACAGCCTGATCATGTGAAAATTTGTGATTGTTTTCCTCGATTGTTAATGACAAGTCTTGTAAAACGTTATAATAGCGGGCACAGCAAAACACAAATAAATGACGCGTAATTAAAAATGCACATTTACAACTGATACCATAATTCGCGATGCACCTGTTTGACCCTGTGTTTTTATGGGTCTTTATAGAAAAACAAGATAATTGGTGAATACAGCATCTATAAAACACTCCAAGGTATTCTGTCTCATGCTAACTATGAAGCATGTACATTTACGTGTACACTGAAACACATGTCATTTTGTGCAAAATGCGTCGACAAAACTATCTTTAAGCCGAAATTTCTGACGATCTTGTTTTCAGTCTGATAATATTGGCGAGGTGGATTTTATTTTCAATGACTTTCTGGAAGTTAACATAAAAAAATTGTTTTAGGGCTCTGGGTCTCACGATGAAGAATAAATGTAAAATACCCTTTTCATTGATAATTCAAATTTTATGTTTTGATGTCTAATAGAGTAGGCCAAATTCTGTTTGAAAAACAGGTTGAATTGGTAAAATCAATTTAAATAAGGTGTTTTTACGTTATGATGTGTGCTGGTACATATGATTACTTTGACGCACGTCATGTGAAGTACAATTTCGAGTATAATTCTGGAACATCAACACCACCCCTACCGACTACTGCAAACAGTTATTAGAAACCAAAGGTGTTGTTGACGATATCGACCTACATTAATTATCTAATCACCTTTGTATTTTATTCATTTCTGCTGAAAAATTTGTGCAAATCGATAATGCAATGTATTTCATGTTATAATTCTGGCATGTTTAGACAGAGAAACAAAGACGATGCTGCACGGGTCACTTTGACTGAACGGGGTATTGTGCATTGGTACAAATGTCCAATTTAACACTGTAAAGTCCGGTAGTTATATATACAGTAATTAAAAATGAAATATGGTGGATGGGTTAAATGCATGGTGGTTTCTATTTAAAATGTGCCATGACTACTTGTGGAAAACTCATAATAAACTGTTGTCGATATGAAGCATGAAATATAATATCATTACATTCTACTTTATGATATATGTCATATGCATCATGAAACCTGTCGTACCATTTCAACCTGTAATGTTTGAAAACATTTCACGACAATAATTTCGTTCGGTCAGTTGAGACGAATGTGCTGATTTTTTTTTTCGATGAAGTAACTTCATGAATTTGAAGCCCATGAGCTGAATCATGTGTTAAATGAATACCATCTTTAATTTTTAGAAATGTAATTTTCCTTTTATCTTATGTGCTTGAAAAGCAAGTGTATGAACTTGAGCAGTTGCACACGATCATAGTGCTTGCCAAGATCTAGGGAATTACTTCCCAATTTTCCGTTTAAGGCAGTTGTTTGGCAGTTGTTTTAATTTTATTCATACTCTGCACTGTAGATACCGCCCCATGTTTTTCAGGATAAAAGTTGGAGTGTATACCTTTGATATCGATAAACGAATGAAAATAATCACAAAAGTAGAGTTTAAGCCATTAGCTAACAGAAAGTAAAACCTCAAACGAAAAGTTATAATTATTTTTATGAAGCGTTTACGTTTCGCTGATGTTCTTGAGGTCTATCAAAGAAAATGCATCACATCATGGATTAGCACTTGTCTGATTTTTG